GAGAGAAGAGGGAAAGAGAGAACTCATCCGCTTCAAACTAGTGTACTCAGATTATCTTCGATGCTCTTACAAAATTTGAGGCTGTAGCAGTGAGACATCAAAAGTTTCAGTGTCGAAGTGCTTTCGCACACCTTTTGCTAAGCAATTTGAGTGAGATGATATGTTGTATGCAAATATAGTACTTAGTAAAAAAGTAAAATAAGCTTTGGCCTAAACCAGAACTGGGACCTTCCTTCTCACCCGTTGACGTCGAAATTAAGAAACGGTGATAGTAAAGACGATTGTGTCATATTTCTGAAAGCTACAGAATCAAATGCCAAATTCTGAATGAGCAACTAATAAAATGATGCACGGTTCTCAAGTTGAAAACTGCCTTTCCATATAGACCTTTATTTCACTAACAAAAATGAGACAATCACCGTTTACGACTACTGTTTTCACGTAACTATCGTAAATACTCTACCCGCTAAAACATACATAAAGTGCTAAAAACAGCACTATAAGCAGAGTATAAATGGGATTGCATCAGATGGATATAATCATCTGCATGCAGGGTAGGAAAACATTTATGTTAGCATCTAAAATTTAGGATTACGGAAGTTCACTCCAGCATACACTGCGTCCTTGCCGAGCTCTTCTTCGATACGGAGCAGCTGGTTATATTTGGCTAAGCGTTCGGAGCGGCAAGGAGCGCCAGTCTTGATCTGACCCGTGGCGAGGCCAACAACAAGATCGGCAATGAAGGTATCTTCGGTTTCTCCCGATCGGTGAGATACCATCACACCCCAACCATTAGAGCGCGAGAGTTTAGCTGCTTCAATGGACTCGGTTACTGAGCCGATTTGATTGACCTAAATGTATTCGCTAATCATGCTACAGACAAATATGTAAGCGGCACCAGCCTTGAGCAGCAAACAGTTGCAACTCTTCTTATCAATTGCTTGGCGGATACGTTTAGGGTTAGTGACAGTCAGGTCATCTCCAACCAATTGAATATCGGTGCTTTGCTAAAATGGAAGGTTATATGAAAAGTTTTGCAGAACAAAAAAAA